TATAAAAATACCACATCTTTTTCAACCATTCCTCATGTGGCGGGCATCTTGGTTGTTTCCAAGATTTGGCTATCATAAATTGTGCTACTATAAACATAGGTAAACATATATCACTATGGTATAACATTTTCAGTTCCTCTGGGAAAATTCCCAGTAGGGGGATAGCTGGCTTGAACTAGTTTTTTAAGGAGTCTCCACACTGATTTCCACAATGGTTGCACCAGTCTACACTTCCACCAGCAATGGAGAAGGGTTCCCTTTTCCCCACAGCCTCTCCAACATTTGTTGTTGGTTGATTTCTTTATGATAGCCATTCTTTCTAGGGTGAGATAGTATCTCAGTGTTGTTTGAATTTGCATTTCACGGATGGCTAGTGATGAGGAGCATTTTTTCATGTATTTATTTGATTCTTTAATTTTGTCCTCTGAGAAGTGTGTGTTCATCTCGGATGACCATTTCTGAATTGGGTCTTTAAATTTAGGGGCCCTAATGTTCTTTAGTTCTTTATAAAAATCAAGTATCAATCTGGATATCTAGATATATCACCAAACTATAGTGTTTTTAAGGCATTGATTTCAAAAAGAACACCCAAGAGCACAACAATATTCAAAAGTAAAAGGAAGAAAAGTGTACCATGTAAACATTAATCAAATGAATGGCATAGTGGCAATACTATTAGCAGACAAAGTAGAGGTCAGAGCATAGGAAATTATCAGAGATAACAATAGTGTATAATGATGAGGGTCATTTTGAGGAGAGATTATGTAACAATGCCAAACATGTGTATTCCTAATAGAGCTGCAAAATTACCAGAACTGAAAGGAGAAACTGGTATACCCATAGTAGCAGTTAGAGACTTCAGCCTCTTTTCTGAATAGTTGGTAGACCATTAAACAGCTAAAAACTGCAAATTGCAAGGTCCTAGAGCTTGCTACCTCTACTTCTCACCAGCTTGTTAAAGCCATCTCTGGAGAGTCTTAGCTAACAGTAGCAGAATGCATGTTCTTCTCAAGAACCCACAGGGCTAACAAGGTAATATCCCACCCCACTCATGAAACATTTAACAGATTGAAAGGATTGAAATCATTTAGGATGTTCTGACCACAAAGCAATCAAACAAGAAACCAGTAATAAAAAGATAATTGGAGAGTGAAGAATGTTTGGAAACTAAACAACACTTTTTTGTTGTGTTTAGGATGAAACCCACAGTCTTAGGTATATTGTTTTCTCCATTGAGGTACCTCTCAAGGGAAGTTCTAAAAATTATATTGAACTAAATGAAAATGTAACATATCCAGATACAGGGATACTGCTAAAG